GACTGCGCGCACTCAAATCCAATCCAAGAATGGGAATGCCAGTTATAGCAGCTATCGCTCTGTGGTCTGCATTTTGTAGTCTGTGGCCTGTCTGCTTACCAAGTAGTTGAGCTGAGCTCTTGGTATTTGAAGATTGATCTGGCTACTAACTGGAATTGATATCATCTTAAAAAGACACTTCTTTTCACGTTAATTGTAAATTTATCATCTAGTTTAGCATGCGATCGAAAATGATTGCTCCTTGCAAACTTTATGAAAGCTGCATTTGCTTGGATGAGTCAAAGGGTTCATTGGAATATACGCAAGTGTAGTTATGTTAATGTTAGATCAATTCTCATGTCAGCTGTCTTGAAGTTAGCATGGCAGCATGATACTCATTATGTAGTCTATAGTTATGTAATATAGCAATCCCGATCAACGTAATAATTTTCCCTAGGCGAGTTCAGTGACTTGGAAAATTGGCTAGGTATTTCAGCTAATATCATGATAAATTTATCTTCACTGTAACTGTGTATGATTTTACAGTTAGTTTATATATACCATTATTCCATGTTTGTTGTGACTATCGCTATTACGACAGTTTAAGACAATGTCTAAACATAAGCTCAGGACACTATATTAGATCTTAACTAAATTGTTAATTTATGATCTCATATGTCATGTATGTAAATAAATAACTTAGCAGAAAAGGACTATGTATTAGCCTAAACTCTTAAAATATTGTTAAATACCATTCACAAAATCATATATCATATAATCATATAACAAAGAGTGAAATAAATTGAAATTGAAAAAAATTAATCCATGATATTAATGAATAACACATAGCTAACAAATTTTAGTACAGTAATCCTACATTAGCCATACTTGAAGCTAGGAAATATTACCAGATATTAGTTTATAAAATTTCCCGATATCATAGATAATATTACATTCATTCTCAATTGCCATAAAAATGTAAGCTGCGACAAATATTGTCTGGATTTTATGTGCCATAATCAAATCGCAGATGTATATATAATATATACGTTTGTTCGACCCTCACTTCAGATCTATATCTAAGTTTTTTTCCAACTCTGTAGCATAAATCAAATGGCAAAGAACATAAATCATTTTAGGCACTGTAGGAACTTTTAACTATGCAAAATAAGTTCTTGCCTAGTCGCACACACGTCCGGAACGTTTGACGCCTTCGATTTGTATATATGCATATACTTATATAAATGAAGTCAACTGCCTCGAGTACTTCAAATCATCCACGCCCACGCCGCCAACTACAACTAGAGACCAGAAACCAGAGTCTAGAGACTAAAGACCAAAAGCCTACGGTTCTTGTCTGTTTTGTTTTTACGGTTCAACGGTTATTCTAATTTATGTTGCATATTGTTTATACACACACACAAGGCACACACACACGTACACATAGGCATTCGCTTGTTTGGTCTTAGCTTGATTGGGCAATTCACAATTTGCCAGGTTGGCGAAAATTAAGTGCGCAAAGTCAATATTTCAATTTCGGGGGAAAAAAAGATAAACTAAGGAAAAATAAAATTAAAATAATTTGCATACGAAATGGTGGAGCTTGTGGTTGCATGCTGCATGTGGCATGATTAGAAACCAGCTAACCAGCTGGTAGGTAAGGCGGCACATGCACTGCCTACGCATCAGGTTGTTGCACGTTGAACGTTGCACTCGCTGCCTGGCTGCTTGCAACCTAACGACTTTTAAGCGGCATTTTGTAAATGAGCTTCAAATGGTCTCGCTGTCTTTCTTGCCTCTCTCGCCTAAATAATTATGTTATTAATTGGATTTATGCGCAGTTTGTGCAACATGCCCCACAGCAACTGAAATTTGCATGTCTCGCTTTCAGCTCTCAGTTGTAATCCCGTTGCTTCCAAGACTTTTTGTTTTTAGGGGCGGGGTTGGCCTTATCGCTGCACAACTATTTTTGAATCTATCGAAAGCGTGATTTACGCTTTTTCAGTTTATTTTCAGCTGGAATAATTTTTTGTTTGCTTGTGGGCGTCTGTTGATATCCCCCACATAAATATTTAATTCTTTTTTATTGTTGTTATTGCTTTTTTGCGCTGCTCTTGATCTTCTTGTCGCGATAATCCGCGCAATGGCAATAAAAATAAAATTGAAAGCTAAAAAAATTGTCAACACGCATTTGAACCTATTTTTAGACCATGTCGCAATCGGATTTATTTTAATTTATTTATATATTTTTATATTACTATAATTATTATGTTATAGACGGGCAACAACTTTATTAAGCGCTTATATAAACAGATGCTTATCATGTCAAAAAGAGCAGAGGTAAAAAATAAACAATGTTTTTTTTTTTTTATCAAACAGCATCTGGCATACTCTATTTAAAGAGTTTTGCTGTTTTTACAAAATATGATGATAAACTTAATACAGAACTAGAAAAGTAAAGCTTAGCCTTGAGTTAACTTTATTATTTTTAATCCAAATTTCCAGACAGATATTATCTACATACTTCTCATAAACTTTTAACCCATTTAACATTTAAAATTTATTATTAATAGAAATGACTTGTTTTCATACATTTACAAATCTATATATACATATATACACATAACTTTTATACTTAAAGGCACGTTTAATAATCACCCCACTGAGTTTCTAATTGAGATGCTATCAGCTTGGCGAATCGTCTAGTCTACGAGTAGCATCAGTTGCTACCAGAGTCGGCCTTAAACCGTTTCGAATTACAATGATGCAGCAGGTTTCGAAATTGCAGGAGCTTATTTTTTGCCCACTCTCGCTATGCTCACTTGGCTACCTATAGATAGAGCTGGCAACGATTCTTTTTTTGTTTTTAATATTCTGACAAGAGCACGTCGGTTTTTGTCGTAAAATGTTGCATCAAATATAGAAATATAGTGCATACAATAATCTTAAAAAGATTTATGTTTTCTTTTTAATGCTTGCATTCAGTCAAAAATAAAAAATACTGATTATTTTATAACACTTAAAAACAGATTTCATATGAATTTCTAACAAAAAGCCTCCATCAATGAATAACACAGATTTTTCTAATCAGAATTGTTATAGAATCACAGCACGCTTCCATCTCTATCAATAAGCACAACATAAACAACAACATTAACATAGACGTTTGTAGTTGCCATATCGCCCAAAGGGGAGAGCACACAGCGAACCGCAAAATACCCAGAAACCACTGCAAAAATCAGCACACCCACAACATGTCATAGTGTACATGTGTGTGTGCGCGTAGAATTGAGTGCACGTCTTGGGTTGCGCTTCAGTTACCTTCGACAAAGAAAAGGCAGCGACGCCAAAGCTAGCTGCTGGCAGCGACTGAGGCTGCCAGCGTCTAACGGCGTAACGAAGGCAATTCTTAATACATATGCCTATGTGTGTGCGGCTTTCCATTGCTGCTGCTTCGGCTGACGCTGGACGAAAGGTTTGCGCGCGCGCTGCTGATAACAACAACAACAACAGAAAGAAAGAGCAGCAAAAGAAGCAGCGCGGCGTAGATAAGCGTGAGCACGCACACACACATGTACACATATACACATGCTCACACATCGAGACACGCACACGCAATGTGAATGCAGCTGTGTGTATGGATGAACATGGAAAACAGTAAAAAGCAAAACAAATTAAAATGGAAGGTGTGTGATGAAATTGATAACAGAGCACAGAGTTTTCTAGTTGTGGTTTAGTGATAACAATTTGTTTGAGCAGAGCGCTGGAAACAAGAGAGCAAAGTAAAGTAAAGGCGTTCTCTTTCTCTCCCTCGCTCTCCCTATCTGACTCATAAAGGTAAAAGGTGGTCGAAGGTTCGTTTTAAAATCATTAATCATCAAAGATACAATAAACGAATTATTTGTTTTGAATTATGACTAATTGAAATTAGCAATATTGAAGAAAGCAAAGAACGCCCGAGATGCATCTATGGGCTGACCCCAGCACCCCTTTTTGCTAATCCGCACCTGTGCCTGGCAAACAACAGCAACAACAGCAACAACAACAGCAGCAGCAGCAGCAGTAGCAGGGGCCATACGAACAGCAACAACATTCAAGTGGATTTTTGTTTAGAGCACGAGCAGCAAAAATGTCAGAAATTTGTGTGCAGAGATAAGCGACATTCAAGTATTTTCAAAACATAATAAGTATTTGAATTTATTGTGTGTATTTATAATTGTTTTCAATTTTTTTTAGTTCAATTAATGGCGCGCGCAGCACAAAAACACACAAACACATATAGACACACAAGCACATATACACACACATTGCAGCATAAAACTGGCGAGAGGCTGAGAATAAAACTGTAATCGTAATCCCTGCAGAGCAAGAGTAACAGCAGCAGCAGAAGCATATACAACACCCAAAAACAACAACGACGCTAGCCAAGAGACTCTTTCGGCAGCAGCAGCAGCAGCGCGCAGCGAATGCGAAGCAGTGTAGTATGAGAAGAAAAAATTTTCTTTCCACCAAACGTAATTGCACTGCTGCTGTGCTTAATTTTGCCAATGGATATGCACATAAATCTGTTTGAAATCTACTCACGCGTACAATTTAACACTTGTGGTCTGCTTTTGTGGCCAGTTTGTTTACTTTAATGCACCATAAGTATGTGAAATTTGTTATTTATTTTAAATTGTTTATCATGAACTGCACACACGACGACGACGACAACGACGAACGACCGACGACAGACACGAAGTGTGTACAACACGAATAAGCTACAAAATATGGTATTTTACAACACTGACGTGCTGCCAGCCTTTTGTGATACAAACATTACAAAATTATTCTTTAGCAATGAGTTATTATTATTGTTAATCCTTAATACAATATCTAACTAATTTCTAGGGCACATGCGTGTTTTGTTTGCTGTGTGCTTTTCGATAGCTATCGGAAAATGTTCATTGTGGAAAATATGGCAGCACTGGCACATGTTTATGCAATTAGCGCTAGAGATGTGAAAAATTAAACGGAATATTTCAAAATATCTTAACTGAAAGTTGTTATCAGTTTAATAATAAAACATTGTGCAAGTTATTTGTTTTTTTTTATGTAAGGCCAAACCTATAGGGTAAAAACATTCATAATTATATGCCACTCGCTGGGCAACGAAAGTCAATTGCGTTAATAAATCCCGAGATTCGCCAGACGAACTGAGCTCTTCACAGACTTTGTATAACTGTGTTGCGCCAAGAGCAGAAACCGGGAATAGTTGAAAAGGCAATTAGAAAGTCTGCTTCCAATGGTATTTGGTAGCTCATAAAGCAATTGTTATCGGCTTCAATATTTCCGGATTCAAGAAGCTGATGGCCAGGATCCCTGTGATCACCTTGGCAAGCTTGAATGATGAAAATCTTTGGTTTGCCCGCCAACGTTGAGCATCGCTCAGCGGATAGTTCGTATCACTCGCCTGTGAGAGTATAGCTATTATAATGCAATCACGTTCCAAATGATCTTTCATTTCAGCTTTGTTAACTTTCCGTATAATGGCTCTTCTGGTCAAATCCGCATATTCCTTAATCTTAAAGCCCAATTGCAGAAGAAATTTACTCAGGCTTTCCATATCCATATTTGTACCCTCTCGTGTTGGAAGTTGTTGCTGCTCAAAGTATTTGTTATTAAAGATCAAAGCTCTGCCACGGAGTTTAGGCGACATATTGTATTGTATATCATCAAACTTTTATGCCATCCTGAATGTTCAATCTTTTCGTTTAAATTACGAGCTGTAAATGTTTTCTATGGCAATGCAAAAAACTTCAAGTAAACTTTGTGTTATATTACTGTAAATACAACAATGCGGTTGTTGTTTGAGTGAAATAATTATAGAAGACAAAATATATTCACAATGACGTATATTGACTCGTTACATTAAATCGTTGAGTCGTACAAATAATTTAATTTTTGCGGTTTTTCGAATAAGTTATTTATTGGCGACTTTTTGAATTGATGTGACCAATAATCGATATCATCGATTTAACATCGATAGCAGTTAATAGCGCAACTTTACAACAGCCGCAGCTCCCGCTTTTGTTAGAATCTTTTGAGATTTTGTTAAAAATATATAAATAAAATTAATTGTAAAGCAAGATGCAGGAGTGTCCATATGGCGAAAAATGTTACCGCAAGAATCCCATACATTTTGGCGAATACTCACATGCACACTGTAATGTTGACGTAGTTGATTTATTATGATGTATTTATTGTGTTATTTCCTTTGTTAGTGGATGCGATTTATGCCAAGGGCTGCGATGGAGATAGCAATGAGTACGACATACCTGCCAAGTATTCCAGTGAGCTAATCAATATACAGCTTAAGTTGTTGGAGAAACTATTTCCACAGTTGGCCGGAAAGGATGCCAAGAGCAAGCCGGCAACTGCTGCCAAGCCGTCAACAAAAGAAGCTACATCATCTGCAGCCAGCACCAGTGGAGTCGCTGTTCCTGCCCAAGCCGACACTAGTCGAGATGCTGCCTCTGCCCAAACCAGCACCGGTCGAGTTGCGACCTCTAACCAAGCCAGCAGTCAGAAGAGCACATCGCAGCTCGAAAAGAGACCAAAACTTGAACGTGATGTACGTGATTACGTATCTGTCGTGGTGGAAAAAGGACGCATGGCTCGCAAACTGGAGCAAGCGGCGCCCTACAATATGTTTCTCACGGCCATCACTGACTCGAAGCCCACACATCGCGAGCCATTGAGCATCACATTGCAGGAGATATTCGACGAGAGCCTGGGCGAGATTGAGTCGAGCGTGCAAATCAATTTCATGGTAGACATCGGCTGGTTACTGGGCCATTACTACTTTGCAGGCATACTGTAAGCTGGTATAGTAGAAGAGTTTTGCATAGAAGCTAATGCCAGCTGGACTCGTTCTTCATATTAATTACTTAAACATTCAATTCATTTTTAGTTCCAAGCCGCTCTTGGTGCTCTATGGAGCTGATGATCCCAACCTGGTTGACATTGGCAAGTTTAAGCCACAGGTCACAGCGATTAAGGTGCAAATGCAATCTCCATTCGCCACATCGCATACGAAGATGATGCTACTTGGGTATACGGATGGATCGATGCGCGTTGTCATCTCAACGGCTAATTTGTACGAGGACGATTGGCACAACCGGACGCAAGGCTTGTGGATGAGTCCACGGTTGCCTCCACTGCCCGAAGACGCAGATACAGCCGCTGGAGAGAGTCCAACGGGCTTCAAGCAAGATCTTATGCTTTATCTAGTAGAGTATAAGTTGTCACAGCTGCAGCCATGGATTGCGCGCATACGCAAAAGTGACTTCAGCGCCATCAAGTGAGTAGGAATCAAAATTGATTTTGCTGCTGATGAAAATCTAATCCTTATCAAATTCTCTGCAGCGTCTTCTTCATTGGCTCCGTGCCTGGTGGTCATCGTGAGAGCGCTGTTCGTGGCCATCCCTGGGGCTGTGCACGTCTTGGCTCGTTGCTAGCCAAGCATGCAGCGCCAGTGGAACCCAATATACCAGTTGTGTGTCAGAGCTCCAGCATTGGCAGTCTGGGTGCTAACGTTCAAGCCTGGATAGAGCAAGATATTCTCAGCAATTTTCGCAAGGATTCGTCGCCTATCGGGCGACTGAGTCAGCTGCCGCCCTTCAAGATGATCTATCCCAGTTTTGGTAATGTGTCGCGCAGTCACGACGGCATGCTCGGTGGCGGCTGTCTACCCTATGGCAAAAGCACAAATGATAAACAGCCGTGGCTAAAGAATTACTTGCATCAGTGGAAGTCCGGGGATCGGCATCGCTCGCAGGCCATGCCGCATATCAAGAGCTATACTCGATTTAATTTGGAGGACCAAAGCGTCTATTGGTTTGTGCTCACCTCGGCGAATCTCTCGAAAGCCGCCTGGGGCGCCTTCAACAAAAAGTCGAATTTACAGCCTTGTCTACGAATTTTCAACTACGAAGCGGGTGTTTTGTTTTTGCCTAAATTTGTGGTGCGTTTAGCTTAACGTATTTCTAGTTGTTTCGCTTAGATTAACATATAATTATTTTATAGACTGGCGAGGACACATTTCCTTTGGGCAACGCACGTAATGGTGTGCCTGCGTTCCCCTTGCCCTACGATGTTCCTTTGACACCATATGGACCGGATGATACGCCCTTTCTTATGGATTATTTGCACCAATGAAATATGTTTCATAAATGTGATTTATAATTACACTTTTTGTTACTTCTAAAAGCATTAAATGGAAAAGAAACTAAGAATTAACATTTAATGGTACTGTAAATTTGAAAAGATCAATTGGTATATTTTAGTGTGCTGTCGACAATATTATGATTATGAAAAATCATCGGGCTGATTTGTTAGAGATGCAGATGTTAATTATATTCATCATTATACTTGATCGGAAAACTTTATTAGATAAACACTGAAATTGTTAGCATTTATTCAAAAGTGGGGGATTTAAAAGTTATCGATAAGCAAGTAACGATAAAGTGCACTAACGTTGACTGCACGCTGTTAATAACATTTCATTAAGATGTTAAATGGGATCTCTGTTAAAATCAGATGTTAGTTCAACGAACGAGCGAAAAATTAGTCACTCGTCGTCGATTTTTCGCACACAACTGTTCTTTAGCAGCGGTAAATTGGTAATTAGACATTCAGCGCTACTATTACAAATTTGTGGTAAGTGCTAATTTACAAGAATATTAAAATACGTGTATGTGTGTGTGTGTGTGCTAAATATATATGTGCTTTTCTAAATACAAAACATAAAAATGTGCGTAAAAAATATATACATTTAAAGAATTGCTGCAATTTGTGAAGTGCCAAGCAGCACAGCGTAAAAGTGCCGGCTGCTTCGACAATTGGGTGGGGTTACATACAGTTAGAACTCCTGCGGCCAGGCTGTCTGGAATTCTAAAATGGCACGTATATATCTCGCTGTACGTGTTCATATATACATATATATATATGTGTGTATTTGTATGCAAGTGTGGGCGGGTATTCGAGGACAGGAGACAGCTGTGTTGCCGGCAATGTCAGCCACTTGGATATATTGGGGCTATTTTTATGTGAATCATTTTTTGTTTGTTAATTTAAATACATTCGCATACCATGCCATTGATATGTGTGTAAGTTGTAGTTGTGTGTTTGACTGTATATGTGTGTGACTGTTTTGGTATATTTTTAATGATGATTTCATATAGAATTTGATTTTACTTATCGCTGTACATATAAATAGTTAGGCTACTGTAAGTGCGCTAATACAAATGTGCATTGGTTATTATCCATTAATGGCAATGTTAACAGTGCAAAGTTGATAAAAATTCTCAGCTGTTTGCCGCTTCATATACGGTCATAATTGTTGTTATTGTTGTTCTCTGACTCACACCCCTATAGTTAACTAGAAAGTTTACGCCAGAGTGAACAATGTATCTATGCAACTGTGTGTGTGTGTGTGTATTCGTGTGAAATCAAAGATGGCCAAAAAGCGCTATCAGCAAAAAATAAAAAAAGGTTATATGAAAACACACTCATACAGAGATAACATTCTTCTTTTCCTATTTTGCTTTGGACATAAACACGCAGCTGGTTTAATTTCTAATTAATTGTTATATGAGTCGAGCATCAACAGCTCGCATAACGGTATAGTTGCCACAGACACTTAATCTGCTCGTGCCGCTATTGCGTATGTGTGTGCGTGTGCATTTGAAATGCGTTTTCTGCTCGCAAAAGAACAACAGGCACACACACACAAACACGTGCATACAAACATTCACATCCTACAGTAACTCGTCTCTGTTGTGGAGCGAAAGTTGTTGTCGGCCAAAGCAGACGTATTCTCACTCTAATTGCTTAGATTTATTTGTAAGCTTATGTATGCATTAAACTGCTGTTCAACAACAACAGCAACAACGTTAGCGCCGGTGCAATAAACTCATTGTTGCTGCAGCGCTTACAATAACAAAAAAGTGTGCTCAGCTTTTGCGCTCTCTCTCTAGCTGCCCGCCTCTCTCTATTTACGCGCAAACTCTCTTTTGAACATTTTTGTTGCCATTACCACCGTGAAGCTTTCTCCACAACAGCTTCAGTTCAGCTGTTGTTGACCCTGTACTTGTACTCAAAGCAGAAATTTGTCTCCAAATTTTGAAGCTGCTTTCAATGCGCATTCAGTTACTCGCACAAATTTTCACCAAAAGTGTGTGGACAAACGGATGTCGAAATAAGCATAGAACAACGTTTTATTAACCTGCGCTTATGCTGATTGTCTTAAGATTTAAGATTGAATAATATAAGTTCATTAGTTCACCGGTTCGTGTGTGACCTTTGAAGGGGGCGCGGCTGTAATATACTCCGATAAAAAAAAAAATAAATAAATAAATAGCAACAAGCTGTGAATATGCCGCCTATAACATGACCTTAACATTAACATTGCGCTGTTAAACGATTTTAGACTAATTTCGCGTCCTGTGCGTGCGCGCGTTTGCTGCCCATTATTTTTAGGGTGTGTTCTGTTCAACAGCAGCTGTGGAGCTTTGTGGGTCTGTGTGCGTGTATGTGACCCAGTTGGGCCATTGCCGTGCCCCATAGCGCTGTGCCCAGGCTCTCTGCATTAAACATTGAAAAGTGCTTTAATTTGCTAATTTTTCATATGTCAAACGCGCAAAAAAAAAAAAAAAAAAAAMAAACTAAAAACGCAGAAAGGAAAAAATTTGCGTTCAAGTGCGTGTGAAACGATTTGCGTTATACGATATAGGAAGCTTAAGGAGTGGTTTTTCTTTTACTGCTACTTTCTTTTCCTTTTGCGGCTTTCGTCATACGCCTAACCAATTTTTGTATGGCTGCTAGACGTTGTTTTCATTCTTGTTGTTGCTGTTGTAAATGAGAATGAGCTAAAGCATAAAAAAAGAGAAATAATCCGGAAATTGCATAATCTTATTGTGATACCTACTTAAATCGTTCATATACCACTACTCTTTAAGTACCCATAAGCCAAGCCAAGACAACAAGAGCTGCAAAAATGTTCTCATGTTGTCGTGCTAATCCAAAATCAGCCAAAAAGGATAAGGACAAGGATAAACAGTGTAAAAACGATGCGAACGAAACAAACGGAAATATCGAACAGCTGCCCGCTGACACAGCCAACGAACAGGTCACCCAGGAAGAGGTCAAAGCCAATGGCCAGGTATCAAAGCCTGAACTACAAGCAGAATCTCAACCTCAACCTGAGCCAGAGCCAGAGCCAGAGCCTGAACCAGAAACACAACCAGAACTAGAACCTGAAGCCCAATCCGAACCCGCTGCCGACACTGAAAAGGAGTCTGTTCCTATTGAGCGCCCCACTGGTATTCATAATATGTATTACCTATGTATAACACTTAGTTCTATATGAAAAATTACATATGCTGTCCCACTCTTGGGAGCTTTAATACACGCTCTGCTATTGTGTATTTCACCTGGCTGCAGGTTCCTGGAGTTTGGTGATAAAAAGACAGAGCTATACCAAATACCCAGTACCTGCGCCTAATTAAGCTTATTTTCGTCTTTATTTTGCCTTACTAGCAAATGTTAAAGCACACAACTCTATATAAATATAGATTTGTATATCTGGTTAAGTGTATATATCAGCTATAAAATATCAAGATATTTATAACATATATTCTCGTTAACATCTTTAGGTATATAGGAATATAGTAATCAAATATTTAGTATGTAAAATCGTTTTATATGAAAAAGGTCATATTGTTTTCCGAGAGAAAGAGGAGAAAGACTTCTTTCCTCTTTGCCAAAGACACCAGTTTTGTATTCTTATAGTATAATATGTAAGAATATTGTAGTCGGGCGTCATTGACTGCATATAATATTCATTCATGGTGCAACAACGTTAAATAGTGTATGAGGCCTGCAGTAGTATATAGATCTAGATTTTTCAGATTTTCCATGCCCCCTTATATTAGCCTATATGTATTACACTATATACATATGTGTTTTGGCGTTTGGCCTCAGCATCTGTATACATATTTAATATTTCAAGTTTTTGTAGGGTTTTGTTACTTTCTTGATTTTCCAAGCAGCTAGTGAGTATATAAATAAAATCGACTTTACCAAAAAATTTCAGGTCTTTGAATGAGTATATTAAATATTATTAGAATGATAGAAATAGTATTAGGGCATACAAATTTTTAGATTTAATTTTAGTTTTGATCTGCTGATCAAATATATATAAATACGTATAAATGTGCGCGCATTGCGCCGATCTTCACAGCCCTTGAAATAGAAGCTATCAACACTGTCGCATCGTCGCCAGTGCAGCGTTCGACGCACTCATCCACATCAACCGCTCCACCCGCATCGATGACCAGCGCCACAGAGGATGAGCCGACGCCGAATACAATGCCTCAGCAGCAGCAGCAGCAGCACCAGCAGCAGGTGCACGAACCGCAACCGGCTAATTCGCATCCCACAAAGAGCTGCCTCTCCCGTCACAACTCGACGCATCAGTCCATCAAGAAGAAGGTGAACATAAGCAATCGAGCGGAGATCATTGAGCCAGATCCGTTGAGCTCATCGTTGCTGCTTTTAGCCAATCACAACAACAGCTCGCTGGCCGACGATGATGAAGTGTTCTCCGACTCACTGCCGCCACCCAAGCGGGAGAGCATGTGTGCGCCGTACATCGAAGGTGAACTGCTGCCGGAAACGCTGGCCTTTGCACACGGACTGCCCGCCTGGTTTGACGATGAGCGATTGAATGAGATGTACGCGTTCTCTATCGTATTAGCCACATTATATGTACTACATGTATGAACTCATCTTTCTATTCTATTGTTATCGTTGTCATTGATGTTGGGTGCACGCCTTCAGCGGGTGCATTGAGCCACCTGTCACGCCTGTTGGCCGGGATGAGCTGGAGCTGAAACGTCAGCGTCTCTACACGGAACTGCTCCGCGCCGCCCACGCAGCCGTGGAGCATAGCGTGGCCGTACGTGGTATGAATGAAATACAAATGGAATTCTATTGTTCGTTGCATGCGTTGCGTTATCGATAACAAGCTCTATCGATAACGTGTTTGTTTTTCAAGTGCAGTTCTCATCCTGCTCTTGTGAATGTTTTTATATATCCTCCTTTAAGAAACCACAATTCTCAATTTCAATTTTAAAGAAATTTTGTCCCTTATCTATAATACTTTTACATCTTTATATTTCTATTATAAATATTCACATATTGTATAGTTAAGTGCAGTTGATGTAAGAAATCGTTAGCAATTAATTTAAATTGATTCTAGTTTAGCTATACAAATAGGCGAACAATTGATTAGGTTTTACATTAGTTTTTATAATTAGGTTTTATAATTAGTTTACTAATGACAAAATACTTGAGTACTCTAAAGTCTTTATTCTGTTCATCGGTAGGCCTATTTATACCAAATACAAAACCAAACATTCGCTAGGCTTAAAAAAATTAAAAATAATTTTACTATTGTTTTTTATTATTGTTTTTTTT